TGATGCAGCCTCTCAAGACCCCCCACTTTCCCATAGCCCCCATTCCAGAGCAGAATTTTACACTAGGGATGCCATCACCAAAGGCTGGAGACGCACTGCCCGCTTCCTTCACGGCCGCGATAATAAGCTCTCCCGCAACAGTAATTCATCCGCTGCACCCTGACGAGGGCAGTGCCCCCCATGTACCGATGCCGTGTGTGAAATGTTTCATTTGGTCGTCGCAGCAGCCCTCTGAGGTGGCTGCTGTGGTCATCTCCGTTTTTATGGGTGTGGTGACTGCTGCTAAGAGAGGTTGGCAGGTAATGAGCCCAGAGTTCCAACGCCAGGAAGGCACAGCCAGGGCTCAGACCCGAGATTTTCCGCCTGGCATCAGAGCCTGTGCTTTTCCATTGGGAGAGCCTGCCTTCCCCCATCACGGGGTTCCTCCTCCTTGATGGGACATTTTGGGCGGGAGAGTTGTTGTGACACGCTGTCCTGTGTGTTATGGGGTGTCTAGCAGTGCCCACTAAATGCCAGTAGCAAGCCCTTCTCGCACCCCCCCGATTGTGACAATCGGAAGTGTCTCCATCATTGCCGGACGCCCCCGGGAGGCTGCTGGGTCAGGGTGTAGGCAGATCACCTCGTTCCGTACAGAGCAGTCTGCAGCCTCCCCATCTCCCCGCCCTCACTCCTTGGCTGCTCCTCGGGGCCGGTGTCTGGCGTCCTGGCGGACCATGCACGCGGCTCGGGCCGCTCGCCCGTGTTCCCCTGCAGGGCTGTGGTGGAGGCCGTGCACCGACTCGACCTCATCCTGTGCAACAAAGCCGCGTATCAAGAAGTGTTCAAGCCGGAGAACGTTAGCCTGCGGAACAAGTAAGCTGGGGACTAGGCCGCAGACCCTGCACCCGGCGCCGCCACCTGCAGACACCTGTTCTCTCTCCCCTGGCCTCCCGTACAGCGATGGGCTCTGAAGTCCTGCCTTCCTGGGGCCGGGCATGGGGGTCCTCACGCCGTCCGCGGCTTCTGCATCTGTTAGCCTGGTGCCCTGAGAGTGGCATCTGAGTTGGGGAATTGGCTGTACCGCGTCGGGAAAGGAAAAGGAGAGGAGGGTGCAGGGCGAGAAAACGATGATTAAAGTTCGTACAGTCCTGTCTGTCTCCTGGGGCTCCGCCTGCCTTCCAGGACGGCCGTCGTCCTGGGTCACACTGACCGATCCTGGATGTGTCCTGGGAGGTTCGGAGGTTTGTCGGTGGGGTGTTGGCAGAGGCCGCCTTGCCCTCGGTCCTCGTGCGTCCCGCGAGGCAGGGGCCCCCCCTCACGCTCCGCTGCCTGCAGGCTGCGCGAGCTGTGCGTCAAGCTCATGTTCCTGCACCCGGTGGACTATGGGAGGAAGGCCGAGGAGCTGCTGTGGAGAAAGGTGTACTACGAAGTCATCCAGCTTATCAAGACGAACAAAAAGGTACGGGGAGGCCCCGGATCCTGGCAAGCAGCTTGTCTACAGAGGGGACGCTGCCGGGGGAAGAGACAGCTGGGGGAGTGGGCCGGGGCGTGGTTGGAGGAAGCGGGGCCGAGGGGGAGATGGTGGGGAGGGAGGGGGTGCGTGGTCCTTGGCGGGAGGGCTGAGGCGTGTGTAGGTAGTTCCTGAGTGAGGGGGTACATTTCTGTCCTCCTGGGATGAGAAGGCAGGGCGGAGCCCTGGGCTGGAGTTCAGCTGCCCCCCCCACCCCCCCACCCCCAGCACATCCACAGCCGGAGCACCTTGGAATGCGCCTACAGGACACACCTGGTCGCTGGCATCGGCTTCTACCAGCACCTCCTTCTCTACATCCAGTCCCACTACCAGCTCGAGCTGCAGTGCTGCATCGACTGGACCCATGTCACCGATCCCCTCATAGGTCAGTGGGCTGGGGAGCAAGCTCCCGTGCCTCCACCTGGGCGTGCGTGGCCCTCGAAGCTCGTGGAGCTTGTGACCCAGCCAGGCACTGAACCTTCCAGCAAGACTTGCAGGTGTTCGTGAAGCTTGGATGTGGGCGGATGGGAACACGAACTAGGGTGAAGACCCAAGGGACAGAGGCCTCTGGCCTGGGACGGGGGCCGGGCTGTGGTGTGATCTTGGCCCGGGCCGGCACGCCTGTCCTCTGCATCATCCCTTTGACCGCTGCGGGTTGCGCGCCCCCCTTCAGCGTGGCGCGGTCTCTCGGCCAGGGCACGTCCTGGCGGCAGAGCCTTCCCTTTGTGTCCGGCTGGCGGCCGCCCTTCAGGGCCCTCGCCCTCTCCCGACCCCCTGCTCTTCACGCCCCTCACCGGCCTGTGGGCATTCTGGGTCACATGGAGGTCGTGGCCTGTGCGGCGCATTTGGAAGTGTTTAAACAAGCCGCGTTCGCCCTAGGCAGATCCATGGCCTTTGTGCCAGCCGCCGGGGGCCAGCGCCCCGGAGCGATTAGGGACCCTTAACTTCCGGTTGGTCCCTAGACCCTGCAGCTCTTCTCCCCGCTGGTGTGTTCTCCACTCGGCCAGCTGTGAGAAGTCGCGTAGAAAACCTGAAAGGCTTTGTGGGGGTGGGGGCATAGCAGAGCATGGCTGCAAGGCCCAGTGGCGGGACGCTGGTCTCTGGAGCCAGGCCGGCCCTTCCGCGCCTGCTGGGTGGCGGGTGACCTCACTGTACAGTGGGGTGACTGAGGGGCAGCCTCACGGGTGCTCAAGGCCAGCGAGGCTGACCTCGGGAGACACTAGGACCCATGCCCGGCACCCAGACACCGCCCCTGGCCATCTCCTTCCCAGGCCACTTCCCTCTCCGGGGCGGAGGCCGAGCATGGCCCTGGCCTCGTCCACGCCGCGCTACTCCTGGGCAGGTCCCGCCCCCCTTCTTTCTAGGAGCCTTCTTGTGACGACCTTCCCCGTGACCTTCCCCACGAGGAGCTGTCCCAGTTGAGGAACCCAGCCCCTGTTGGCCAGTCCCTCGCTGCCCTGGGAGCGAGTCTTCTCTGTCCCAGAGACAGTGCTCTGAGAGCCTGGGCTCTCAGTTCCTCTGTCCACCTGGGTAGGTGTTCCCATGGGCGCGGGACGCGGTGTGGGCTCACGAGTCTCTCCCTCCTTCTCTCAGGATGCAAGAAGCCAGTGTCTGCCTCAGGGAAGGAGACGGACTGGGCGCAGATGGCATGCCACCGATGTCTGGTGTACCTGGGGGATCTGTGTAAGGATCCAAACCTGCATTTCCTCTGCTTGGGGCTCAGGACAGGCTCCAGCTGCCTCCGAGCTTGGTGCCCCTGCATCCGTGTTCGCAGAGCCGGGCGTAGCTTGGCCTCTGAGCGCTTCTTCCCGTCGGCTGACGCTGCCCCTTCCCTGCCCGTCTCCTCGCGAGCCGGAGAGGGCCAGTGGGCGCAGGGAGGGAGGCGCGTTCGAGCTCTCAGCCGTGGCCGAGGGAGATTTTAACTTCTTTGGGGTTTTCTTTTTTCTCTGCTGGGGAATTGAAGTCAGGCCCAGGGCGGACTTACTGGCTTGACAGATGGTTCTCAGGATGGGAAAGTACTGACTCTGTGGCCCCCGGTCTCCAGTCCCCATAGACAAAGGGTCCTCAGTGGCTGCTGCTGCGTGGCTGTTGGGCACGTTGTCTCTTCCTGCCCCGAGGCACGTGTCGTCCTGCCCCCTGCCCACCCCTGGACCCTCGGAGGCGGCTGTTTGCCGTGAGGCTGACCAGGGTCATTAGTGGTGTGGCCTCTCGGGAATGAGCAGTTGCACCTGCAGCAGACGTCAGAGTGCCCCAAGGAGCCGTGCGCCGCGGCCCGCCGTGGGGGTCGGGAAGAGCCTGCTTCCTTTGCAGACGCTGAGCGTCCTTTACACGTTGGCCTGAGCCGCGAGGAGGAGAGCATCGGGCAGTTCACCCGCAGCGATGCAATTTTAAGACTGCCAGAGGCCCCAGCGGCTCGCCTCTAGCTCAGTGTCCTCCGCCCGGGCTTTGGGGACAGCTCCTCGGGGACCCCGGAAGAGGGCGGTCTTCCTCACACGTGGAGTCATGGCGGTTCTCCCTCTCTCCTCTGCCCTGCAGCGCGGTATCAGAACGAGCTGGCCGGCGTGGACACCGAGCTGCTCGCGGAGAGGTTTTACTACCAGGCTCTGTCGGTGGCCCCCCAGATTGGTGAGTGGCCCCACGTGGGCCCCCCCAGCCCAGCGGCATTTTCCAAGCGGGGGACAGTGCCAGCGTGGCCGGCGGGCCGCTCTCGCTTTGTCCGGGTCCTCCCTGCAGTCAGTCCGCTTGTGCTTCACCTGTGGCCTCGTCGCCCGTGATGCACACTCAGGAGCTGGGAAGGTCTCTTGAGAAGGAGAGGACAGCGGGAGGAGGTCTGTGTAGAGAGGAGATGGTACTTCGTCTGGCCGTCACAGGCACAGTGACAAGGGATGAGGCCCCACGACAGGGAGAGGCGGGGACCGCGTGTGGGTGGGACTCGGCACTGGGAAACGGGGCTGGGTGGAGGGGGCCCGTGCGGCTCTGTCAGCCTGGGAAGAGCCGCCGCCACTGAAGGCCTGGCTCCCTCAGAGGCAGGTTGGGCGGGGGCGGGCTGACTGGAGAGAGCCTGCCAGGAGTCCTCTGGGACTCCGGTGTCGCCTGCAGACCCAGCTCTCCTCCCCACGAGTCCTTTGATGCTGGGCTTTGGGTGGGCATGGTGGCTCCAGGCTGAGTGAAG